CGCTGGAACCCGGGAAGCAGAGGTTGCAGTGAGCCAAGATCATGCCATTGCACTCCAGCCTGGGCAACAAGAGCGAAGCTCCGTCTCAAAAAAAAAAAAAAGGATCAACAGAAAAGAGTAAGGGTGTCCCTCACTGTTAGAATAAGTTATATAAGAAAAATGGGATGAAAACGAGAACATCTCTATAAGAAAATGAAAACATGCCAGCAAGATGCCCATAAAAACGAACCAGGAGACTGTTCCTGCTATTCCAAAACAAGCTAAAGTATTAAGAAAATGACACAAGTCATGCAAGAACAACATAAACAATAATTAGAAAAATTCAGAAAAAAGATAGAAATCAGGAAGAAATTTAGAAATAAAAGAAGCATTTTAGGAATTAAGGCTAAGCTAGATGGATTAGAGTGAATAACAACAAACAATAATGCTTTAAGATAAATAGAAGGTAAAACGAAGAAAAGCAACTTTAATTATTTTTCAGAGACAGGGTCTTGCTTTGTCACCCAGGCTAGAGGGCAGTAGCACAATCAGGTCTCTGCAGCCAGGAACCCAACTTCCTGGGCTCCTGTTACTCCTGCTTCAGCCTCCTGAGTAGCTGAGACTACAGGTGAGAGTCAGATCATTTTTCACTTAAAAAAATTTTTTTGTAGAGACTTGTTTTCACCATATTGCCCAGGCTGGTCTCAAACTCCTGAGCTCAAGCAATCCTCCTGATTCAGCCTCCTAGAAATTTTTTTTTTTTATCCTTTTGAGATGGAGTCTCGCTGTGTCGCCAGGCTGGAGTGCAGTGGCGCGATCTCGGCAAACTGCAACCTCTGCCTCCCGGGTTCAAGCGATTCTCCTGCCTCAGCCTCCGGAGTAGCTGGGATTACAGGCGTGCGCCACCGCCCGTCTAATTTTTTTTTTTTTTTTGAGACGGAGTCTTACCCTATCACCTAGGCGGGAGTGCAATGGCGCTATCTTGGCTCACTGCAACCTACGCCTCCGGAGTTCAAGCGATTCTCCTGCCTCAGCCTCCCGAGTAGCTGGGATTACAGGCGCCCGCCACCACGCCCGGCTAATTTTTTGTATCTTCAGTATAGATGGGGTTTCACCATGTTGGCCAGGCTGGTCTTCAACTCATGACCTCAGGTGATCCGCCCGCCTTGGTCTCCTAAAATACAGGAATTACAGGCGTCAGCCATAGTGCCCGGCCTAATTACTAAACATTTTAGTAGAGATGTTTTGAAACTTTGCATATATCCTGTTTCGACTTCAAGTTCTGCCTACTAATTTTAGCATCCATCGGTGGATGAAGAAGGCCGACTTTTACTTTCTCAGTCTGAGCAAAATTTCACTGCTTTAAGGAGCAAAACGAGCAGAATTATTGGACAGGAAGAATGGTAGGAGAGAGTAGAGACCTAGGCAAGTGCCGCTCCTGTAAAAATTAGGTAAGTGAAATCTAATAATAATAAGTGCACTCGCACTACAAACAGAAGGATAGCCCGGGCAGCTCTGAGAGGGGTTTGCAATCAGGCGCCGGGTCGACTTCCCGGTTGCCCTGGAGACAGGGTCCTTCCTTGTTGGGCGCCTCCATCTTGTGTCACCAGCCCTTGCCCAATGAGCGGCTGCTCAGTGGCGGGAGGGCGGGCTACCGCGGCGGGGCTCTGCCCGCCTTGGCCCTCTGCTCTTCTCGGTCATGGAGGCGCCAGTCGCCCGCTTGTTTCTGCTCCTGTTGCTCGGGTCCTGGACCCCGGCGCCAGGCAGTGCCTCCTCCGAGGCACCGCCGCTGATCAACGAGGACGTGAAGCGCACAGTGGACCTAAGCAGCCACCTGGCTAAGGTGACGGCCGAGGTGGTCCTGGCGCACCTGGGCGGCAGCTCCACGTCCCGAGCTACCTCTTTCCTTCTGGCTTTGGAGCCTGAGCTCGAGGCTCGGCTGGCGCACCTGGGCGTGCAGGTGAGTGTGGGCCACC